TGGAAGTAAAATGTTCCTAACACAAAGAAATGATAAGTGCTTGAGGTTATGGATACTCCAATTACCCCGATTTGATTATTATACACTAAATGCATCACATGTACCCTATAAATATATACAACTATTATATATGCGTAATAATTAAAAATTTAAAAAAAACTCTCAAAAATTCCATGGAAGTACTGAAAAGATAAAAGACAATGAACAGACAAGCTAAAGGCCCCAATAACGGCAGAAGGACTCTAGAACAGGTTACAGTTATGGGAGTATGATGGGATGAATGCAACAATGGGAATCTAAAGTCCTAGATTTTAGTACTGATTCTACTTACTACTTAGTTTTGTAAGCTTGGGAAACTCAATCTGTCTGGTCTTGATTTCTTAGAGTAAGAGAAAAGAGTTGTGCCAATTAGGCCATAATTTTATTTTCCATTTTAGTACTCTATGAAAACCTATTTAAAATGAGAAGTAAAGAAGATTGCATATGAAAAATTCTATATACATGTAAATCAATTTTATAAATATAGGCATTATTATAATTAGAACCAATAAACCCTCATAGTGAAGATAATACAGGTATCATGAAATTTTGAGGAAACATGTTCTTTCTAAGCTCATAAAGGTGATGCCAACATATAGTTAGAGAGATATCTGGGACTCTTTTCAAAGCCAAGCCTTTCTCTACCTGCAGCAGAATCACTTCGTACACTTGCTAAATGTGAACCTACTGAGCTCCAGCCCCAATTGATAAGAACATGTTTATGAAGTGAGATTCAAAGAATTATACTTTAAAAGGCACCATTATGATATTTGTGCACACTAATGATTGTTAATCACTACTGTGGGCATCAAGAAATCATTTTCAACCTTCAAGAAAAAATAAAGTTAATATGCTATATCCAAAAAGAACAATGATCAAGGGAATTGAAATTCGGGTAATCAATTACAGACAATTATGATCAGAAAGAAATATTTAAAACTGAATATAACTACACAGGGATTCTGGCATACTTATATTTTAAATGATCAGGTAACAAATTTGGATGGGGATCAAAGAAGACAAAACAAGTGGCAGAAATCTATAAGAAGACTAATATTTATAACGAACTCTGATTTTGAAGCCTTCGAAAGACCCAAAGGAAATTTATTTCTATATATAAGGTAAGAAAGAAGAACAACTGAGTTAACTGCTTTATGCAAGTGGCAAAAGGTTATTATGTCTTACACATAGAAGATATTCAACAAATATCAACTTTCATCTTCTTAATCACATAGAGAAAAACATCTGCAAACAATCATGGTTAAGAAACACTTGAAATTTGTAAATA